TGGAATGATTGGAACCATCAGACCGGCGCCGGAACAGAAAGAAGTGGTGGAGTGGCGACCTTCTCCCGGAGCGATGGAGTCGGGAGGACCCACTTTCGTCACTTGCGAAATTGATGTTTTGAACATCGTCCGAGCATTGGATCATCGGATTCCTCTTCCGATCGGCCCTCTGCTTTTGATATCAGAACAGGCTAATGAGTGTATGTTGCAACACTGCAAAGCAAATCGGAAACGATTTGCCCTTACCCGAACAGCAAACATGAAAACGAAAGGATCAATACCAGACGAAAATGTCGCAGGCACCTCCGATCCCATACGCATAGGGCTAATACAGAAAGATGATCACTTCCCGCGAATCAAACCTATCCCATGGAAATCCGCAGAATGCGATACCGAAGTATGGGGAGTCCCGTATAATGCAATTATCGATTCAGGAGCCGCTCTTTTGGTTATTTCGCTACGAGTAGTTGAAAGAGCAGAAAGAAAGAACGACTTAATCATGCTAACCGAAATAGATCAGCTCGTTTCTGCAGACGAATAAAAGATTAAAACGGTGGGACGGATGACCAATGTTGCATTTCGATTAGGGAAGGTACATGCTTTGGGAAACGTCGTAGTATTAGATGTCAATACTTACGATGTTCTTTTCGACCTTCCTGCCCTGGTAGCGATGCGAGCCAATCTGGACTTCGAAAGACGGTCGATTATCCTCCGAAATACGGGAGGGAAGCCCTACGTTGTACCAATGGGACTGACTCTGCGTACTACCGCTAACATAGCCCCCCGAGTTTCTCCCGCAATGACTGGGACCCTCCGCATGATTACCTGGGACAACGGGCAGACATCCAAGAACGCGGACAACAGCGATCATGATGATGATCCCGTAATTTTGGAGATGGCAAAAAAACGTATTCATTACCCTGTGCAGCGGACCAACGCTAGAGCTTCAAGTTTAAGCAGAACTAACCAAGATTTGCAAAGAACACAGGCAACGATTATGGGAGAACCTCTCGTACATATTTCAAGGATGGTCGATTCTTTGGAACCCCCTCGAACCCTGTACGAAGGGATCTCCCCTCTTCTCGCCTGATACAACGACAAAAGGCACTACTGCGATATCACGGATCTTCCGAAATCCCTGCCAACACTTGCAAAGGAAATTCGATTGCTATGCTTAGGGGCAAAGATCAACTCTTTGGAACCCCTTGAGAGCCTCGAGAACGGACTCGGAATCAAGATCGCCACGAAACCCGTATCGTGGCAGGATATTCGAGATTGAGTGACGCCTGAAGAACACGTGGTCATCCGATAAGAGGATGCACAGATGATGGTCACGGTGTTCTCCTGGCGGTCCGATAATTCATTCATCTCCGCGCCCCCGCCGGAAAATACCAACCGGGTGAATACGAAACACATCGATATGCGGATATGGGATGAGTTATATGAGTTGCACGTACCTCGATACGTACCTGATGAGATTCACCACCTGATCGCAGACATCTTGAAAGAATACAAAGGAGCGATTAGTATGACAGACACGGACATTGGACTGTCGTTGGTCATACAACACGAGATCCAGACGAGGAATCAGTCCCCGATTCACTGCAAGCCTTACAGATATTCCCTGGTAGAGCGGAAAAAGGCTCTCGAACGGATTCGAGAAGCAAGCGGTTGGATTGAACCCGCCACCGGACCATGGTCATTCCCGGTAGTATTGGTACTGAAAAAAAACGGATCGATCCGCATATGCATTGATTATTGCAAGCTAAATGATATCACGATCAAAGATGTGTAACCCCTCCCCCGGATTGGTGATTTGCTGGATGCGATTGGGTGTGCTAATTATTTCAGTAAGTTTGATATCCGGCATGGCTTCCATCACATTTTGAATAAGGAAGAAGATCGGCCGAAGACGGCCTTTGTACTGTTTGAAGGCACATGGCAGTGGGTTCGATGCCCGATGGGGATTTGCAATGCACCGGCCACGTTTCAGCGGGCCATGAACGTCACGTTTCAGAACTTCGTCAACAAGACACGATTAACCCAGGGGATGATCAACTTCTGCGTCATCCTGTACATGGATGACATCCTGGTTTATTCGGAGACCTATCATGGCCATGCACAACATATTAAGTGGACGTTAGGTGCTCTGAGAGACGCTGGATTCAAGATCTCGCTTGAGAAGAGCGAATTTTTCCTCTTGGAAATTTCGTTATTGGGCTACGTTGTAAAACGTGGAGGATTGCGGCCTGACTCGAGAAAGGTCGTGGCGGTGAAAGAAGCCCCTGTCCACGTCGCTAACGTAGGTTTCGAGCCTTCTTGGGGTTGGCATCATACTGTATCCGTTTCATCAAGGGCTTCGCCACGATTGCACGACCCTTGACGAACCTGCTACGGAAGGACCAACCCCTCAGTTGGGACGCGGAGTGTGAGCAGGCCTTCGCGACCCTCAAGGAAGCCCTGGCCACGACACCTATTTTGATCCAACCGGACCCCTCGAAGCAGTTTATTCTCATCACGGATTGGCAACCGGAGGCTATTTCCGCTAGGGGAACGATGACCGCGAACATGTCATCGAGTATGCGTCGCGAACGGTACCAGACGAGCAAAGGAATGACTCAGCCCCGCAAGGCGTGGGAATCCGACACTTTCATCCGTATCTGTACGGACAAAAGTTCCTCCTTGTCACCGATCATGAGCCCCTGTTAGCGCTGAAGAGACTCTCTCATTACACGGGCATGATTGGCCGATGGGCAGTGCGCCTACAGGAGTACGACTTCGACATCATCCATCGAAAGACGGAGAGACATGGCAACGTGGACGGGCTGACACGTCTGCATCGACCGGCTAAAGTGCGTAAGGCAGAAGAAATCGTCCCGTGGAAGGAACCGGAGTCAGTGAACGGACCCAAGTATGGACAAGTGGCAGTTCTCCCTCGTGGCAAGAAGCATGCGGGTGGCAATGGGTGACGGAGGTAATCCTACAACCCCTCTCTCTCCCCTCTCCTCCTCATCTCTTCTCTCCCTGCCTGATAAATTTTGTTATTTTTGGGAAGGAATTTCTCCCGTATACTCGGTCTCCATGTGCCCTAACGGAGAGGCATATGCGGAATGGGTAGATTGTCGACAGTGTGTCGCACGAGCCCACGGCTCGTGCATCCAATACCGAAATGATAGTAAGTCCTGGTTGTGCCCCTTGTGTCGGGTTAATAAGATCCCGACCGAGGCTCGCTTTTTAGATGCCACGTCAGAAGGGTTAGAAAAAACCCGGAAGTTTAGAAGGGCCGAAGTATGGACAAATATCGCTTTGATTGCCACCCTAGTGGGTAACCCCCTCCAGGACTTCACCCAGGAAGATTGGAGGAGGGTCAATGAAAGGGCTCGGGACTACCGCTAGAAGGAGGGACGATTGGAAAAATGGAAAACGGATGGTAGCGGAATCTAGATGGTAGTGCCGCACCCGTTCATGAGGTATGACTGGGTGAAGACAACGCATGAAGAAATGGCTGCCCATTTCTCCGTACGGATCACGGAGGCGGCAATTGACAAAAACGAGTGGTATTGGTCCAATATTCGTGACGATGTGAAATTCATTGTAGCGAACTGTCAAGTTTGTGCTGCTGACAAGGCGCCGATTCAGCCGCCAAGATCGATAGTGCCAACGGTAGTTGAACGGTCTTTCCAAAGGGTTAGCATGGATACTACCGATATTGTGGTACCCCCTGGACCCAATAGCTGTGAATATTCAGTCCTACTCGTGTTCGTGGACCATTTTTCGAAATGGATCGAGGCATATCCCAATCGTTTGCGACAGCTGGGCGAAATTGCGTGATACGACGATCGGTTTTTAGGGATGCACCAGGACACAGAGAAAATTTTGACCGATAATGGGGTAGAATTTAGGGGAGAAGTCTTGAGGAATCTGGTCGTACACGGCGTCGCTATTCGGAACACCGCACCCCATATGTCACAATCTAGCGGGCTGGTAGAAAATGCAAATAGGGTGATAAAGACTGCGCTACGACGCAATATCGAGGCGTGGGACCCCAGGCCCTGGCCCGATATCGTAGATCACATCTTGGCAGTACATCGTGGGACGCCCCACGAATCGACGGGCCTGAGCCCGTTCCAATTCAGGACCAATAGTGTGGCTTGCGTTTCAATACCAAGCCTCCAGGACGAATCTTCACTGAACCGACGGCCCACCAGGGCCACAGTTGGAGACAAGGTCAAGCGGCACATGGAATTGATGGAACGGTCCCTGCCCCGATTGGCCCGAAAACGACAGAAAATGACTGAGTTGGCCCATGGCCGACAGGTCCGTAGTTATGAGGCCCGGAACGGGTACGCGGGTTCGCGGCCCCAGTATAAGTTAGAGGACTTGGTGCAGGTGAGGAAATGTGCTCGCCAAGACAAGATAGCGCCACGATTCTTCTGGCGATTTCGTGTGATCGAGCTCGGCCCGAACGGAGTGAACACGGTGCGCCTCGTGTCGGAAGTCTAGGGAAGCCGCGCAGCCGATCGTTCGCTACGTGTCTTACCTACGTCCTCTCCCTTCCTCCCCATCTCCTGCACCCTCTTTTTCTTCCCTGGCTACGGAAGAAGAAGACGACTCTCCATCGTCTCCCTCTTCCCGTACGTCTCTCGCCTTGTCCCATACTCCGTCCCCGCCACCGTCGCCACGAGTTTTCTTACGGAGCGAGCTCTCGGTGATCATCTGCTGGCGCCACGAGGCTACATCTCAACGATTCGGCAGGTTCATCATCCGCGGTTCAATCTTGATCTTCTACGACTCGCGCAATTCTTCTGCACTTCGGGGGTGTACGCAGCGGCCGAGTTCCGATTCGCTGCAGTCCTCAGGCGGTCGTGTTAGCAGAAGCAGTGGCGGTACATCGGAGGTCAGCTCCCGGGATATGCCACGTGTCCACAGTCGTCGGTTTCAGCGGAGATATCAGCACGGTAAGTGCGCAACGGCATACGGCTATCCGGAAGTCGTTACGACGGTGGGGCCAACAGTTGGCAGTTGAGTGGCACCATTGGCTCACTCGCCACATGGACAATCTCTTCCCTACGGACGGTATCGACCTCGACGGGATTCGAGCGTTCCAGCACGACCCGGCGGTGGTGCTTCCAGAACTCGTCCCTTTCCAACGTCCCCAATGAACCGTTCCCAATTCTCCACCTTCGCTCTTCCATCTCTCTTTCCCACCTTCTGGCAGTCTGGTGTCCATACTCGTTTCTCCTTCTGTCTGGAACCGCTCGATGTCCCCCTTCTCGATCCAAGGCAGTGGCAGCTGTGGTGTGAGCACTTCGTCGATCTCTCGGTGTGCCTGGTCGGGGTGAGGCGTACGTGGACAAGAGACGAAGAACACCGTGAGTGGTTTGAGTACTTGGAGCTGATGATCGTCCAGGCCTGGAGGACAGACGTGGAGGGCGACCTTCTCGGTTTCCTCTTTGGATCAGTACTGCCCGACCATCGCCAACTGATTGCGAAGGAGCTCACAGTCCCCCTTGCGCAGTTGGCTGACGATCTCCCCCTTGAGATCGTCTCGCAGAGTGACGAGAACCCGGTCCCGCACGTCCTCACACGGACCCTGACGCCGTACCTTCAGTGGTCAGCGTGCCTGGAGGAGCCGAGAAGAGGACGCAACCCGCCATCCCAACGGGATTATCTGAGCCCACGGGAAATCATCGATCTCGCCTTCTTCCAGGATCGAGCGGCCTCCGAAGACGAAGAGGTAACAATCGAAGAAGAAAGCGCTGACGAAGAAGAAGAAGCAGCGGGAGAGGACGAAGAGGAAGAAACCCCAGAGGAAGGCAGTTACAGTGAGCACAGCGAAGGAGAGCAGAGTAAGGAGGAGGAAGAAAACGAGGACGAAGAGGAAGAGCTAGAGCTGGAAGAGTCCAAGTGGGAGATCTCGGCGGAGGAAGCAGAGCAGGCGGACACTCAGGCGGAAGACCCCGAGGCGGCGCGCAAGAGAGAGGAGATCGCAACCGAAAAACAACAATTGGAATTCGCCAGCGGGGCCAATCCGCAGATCGTTGATGATCCGGCCCGCGATCCCGAGCCGCCCAAGCCAGAAGATGGGGATCTAGTTGCCGAGACTTCGAGGGCACTGGCCCAACGGCGCCGAAGCCAATCCCCCTCCCCCTCTGCCTCCGACCGTTCATCAGTTCGATCCCGTACTGATGCGGGCCATCAGGCTTCGTCCCCGGTCGTTATCCCGCCGTCCCCTTGATCATCTCACCGTCCGCCAAATCACCACCAGCGTCACCTTCCCTCGTAATCCCTTCCCCATCGATACCTTCCGATTCTTCTACGTTACTCGCCTCGTCGTTACGGTCCACCCCCATCCCTCGACCCGGTGCGCCCTTCCCGATTTCTACCTCCACACCCTCCTCTTCAGTGCCACATGGCGAGGTCACAACATGGTCGAAGTCTATTGCAGGATTACGGGGACAATCCCCTCATGCGAGGATTACGACCATTTCCACGCGGCACTCTTCCGCACCTTTACCACCCTGTATCCCGACTACCTCGCCTCCCTCCTGCACACTGGTAATCGCTTCCCCCGTTTCCACCGGATCTTTCGTTACTAGGAACTCCCGAAAACAGTAGCCCAGGTGGAACGATTCTTACCCCCGCTTCCGATTAACCCTCCCCCTCACCATGCCCCCATGTACCGTCTCCCCTTTTCCCTTCCTGGAGGACACCGATGATCGGTGATCGGTGGATAGGTGTGCGTGCCACGACGATGGCACGAATAATCCCCTCCTTGGATTGATGAAAGTCCTCCTGAGGAATTTGTAGGACAGAGCTTGCAGGCCACGTTGGATGACGTCCACACTCTTTCACACGGTAAGTGGCCATGTAGAAAGCTCCGCGCGTCGGTCAATTAGAGAGATCGACACGTGTCAAGATTCAAGCAAGCAGGAGCTTGCTTAAGATTGAAACCCCCTGGGTGTCACATATGTGACGAACCGATTTTTGCACCACGTGATTTTTTGCGCAGTAGCAACGAGGGGTCCTAAGCTAGGAAGGATGAACCGATTACGGGAGATTGAGATGGAAGGGAAATTGCATCAGTGTCCTCGCTTCTTCGCCCCTTTTCGTTGTCTTTTCGTATGATTGGATTCAGACCCGGGTGGGCCCCGGGACGATCGATTGGTTGATTGGCTGTGTGTGTGGCGCGCCATCGCGCGCGCGATTAATAAATGTTGACGTCGCTTCTTTTGTTTCGGTTTCGGACTTTTTAGGTGCGGAAATCACGTGGGAATTTTGTTTCGTTCTTTTTTAATTTTTTTTTTTAATTATTTTTCGAATTTTGTCGAGGCACTATGGCTCTCAGGATTTCGAACTTTCTTTTCGGGATTTGTGTTTTTCGCTTTTTCTGTATTAGACAGGAATTTAGGAATTTTGCAATTAGGATTTTTCCTTGCCGCACAATGCTTTTTGCTTACGCGCTTCCCTGTGCGGCTGCAACGGAACTCTGATTAGTCGGCGCCTTTAATCGTGTGTGTAACTGTAATTTTGGGCGGGCGCCATTGTAACTGTATTTTTTCTTCTTGTGCTTCGTCTTTCCTGCTCTCACTTTTTCTTGTTGTGTCTAGCCAGCCCGCGGACTGCATATTCGGATCGATGCGTGGAGCAAGGCTACGTCCCCCACGCGACGGTCTGACCATGCAGAACGTAGGCGATCTCTCCTAATCTTCTTTCTAAGTCGTTGTAATTCCGTGTTCTTCGTGCATGCATGCACGCTATAAATTCCGGCTGCGCGATTAGATAGCTCTCTTAACCAGCTGTTGGAAGCTCGGGGTAACGCGATCAGTGAGGGTCGGCTCACGAGCGAAGTAAGAGGTGAGTTGAAGTGGGAGTCGGGCGACCCGACGAGCTGGTGCCAAACGTGCGGGGTTGACGCGGGCCACGACGGACTGTGGGCGTGGGCGAACCTGATGGGTGCGGGAGGACTAAGCGGGGTGACGACTTCGTGGGTTGGTGCGCGACGACGGACTGTCTGCATCGGAGAGAGAGAGAGAGAGAGAGAGAGAGAGAGAGAGAGAGAGAGAGAGAGAGAGAGAGAGAGAGAGAGAGAGAGAGGAAGTGTGAGCTGAGGTTAATGGACGTTTCTCCCTCGCTGCCTTTGTATATAAATTTTAATCTCGGCTCGGGGCGATCCGCTCGTTGTTGTTGTTTTTTTTTTGAATCTTGTCTTGGTTTCGGCCCACACTTGTTTTTGCGATTTCAATCTCAGATATTCTGTGTTATGCTGAATGAATGGATGGATGGATGTTATGACTGTTTGCTCTTTCTTATGCCTGATCTTTGCCTTTGCTTGTTGTTTTGATACCCTCATGAGTATAGTAGGAAAGTTTGCACAATTGCTATTTGTCCTTTTTGATCTACTGTTGCTACCACGAATGCGTAGTAGCACCTTGCATATTCGGGAATGATTGCGTGCGAATCATGGGATGATTAGATGATCGGGTAGCTGTTTGCCCAGAAACCAGCGAACACGTCGCGGGGATGCTTGTAAGTGCGATCTGATCTGCGCACTTACACGTGTCCATGCGCGTCAATTCGCAACCACCCACACATAAAAGGGTTAATGATTGCGGGGATATTGATTGATTGGATGTGTTCGGTGACCATTCTGCGCTTGTAACAAAGCGATCATCCCGTGTGAACACGTGTGAGTGCGATCCCATGCGCGCAATCTACACGTACACACACGCAGTGATCGCAATCGTCGAATAACGGGACAGGCACAAAATTTCTGAACGTTGAGCTCGGAAATCCCCAGTCGGGTAACCACGCACTAAGGAATTCCGCGGCTTCACAATGACAAGATGATGAACTCAAGAGACTCGGATTCATCGTGGGATCCGGAGTACTTTACCCCTTGGGTGAATGAGTGTCTCTGACGGAGACGCCCGAAATTCCCCTGCCTAACCGAGAATCGATTGTGCCCTACTGCGCTACGACCAGCAACTTGAGGTGTCTTGATTTTCCCACTTCGGACAACTCGCACTACTTCATATCCCCCGTTTTCGTCGTCATTGCTACTAACTTCCCTCTTTTTCGTCTTCTCCTTCCGTACCACCAACTTACGGTGGTACCGTGGAATTCCATCGCAGAGTATTGGCCCTGCACACCGTGCGGAAATTGCCAGCGTCGCGGCAATCGACGAGCCCCGGACACCAGAATGCCTAACCCGATTACGCAACGACAGGCGCCACGTGGCTGCCCCCAAAGGCCCGACTCATCGGAATCACAGCCCTTCCGGGCAGACCTAGCCCTGAACCGCCGCCCCCAAAACAGACGAAGCGGACGACCTTGAATGTACCGTGCCTGCCATCTGCCTTATGCTGCACGACATAAACTCCAGCAAACTGGAAGGAACTTGCCCTCAGCCTTATTGCACCCGTGCACCTAGAACTTTGCCACAGGAGATCTCAGTTCTGACTTGGGACTCCACCCCCACTTTCCCAAAAATCCTTGGCACACCCCTTTTCGCACTTCCAGGCCCNGCAAGACTGTAATATGCACCCCACCCCGGCTAGGCTGTAGTGTCCAACTCGACTCGACACACACCACACACAACACCACATGGACGTAGGCGCGGCAATTCTCATACGCTTGCTCGAATCAGCACGTCACCATGCCACTGGTACCTAGGTGTGTTTATGTTTGTGGTGTATGAGGCCACCGATAATCCCTGCACTGACAAACTTTGTTTTGTTATATACTCTATACCGGGCAGCTCTGTCTGAGGATACATTATATATGCAAGGAAAACGCAAAGAAAAAAAAAGTTTAAAGAACGGGTTCAGTGTGCTGCTTCGCTTTTGGAGATAGTCCATAAGTAGTTTACTTTTTGTTTGGTTATTTCAACTTATTTGTTATGCATATGTATAATATTATGTAAGGAAAAGGTGAAAGAACGTTTTTTTTTTTTTTTTTTTTTTTTTTGAAAGAACGTTTTCAGTGTGCTTCATGTTGTCTGCTTTTTTTTTCTGTCTTTTTTTTTTCCATTTGTTTTGCAAAGTGCACCCGGTGTTTTGGGTTGAGACGTATGTGGGCATATAAATGGTGTCCTTGGAGACATCGGTTGACATTGGAACGATACAGAGAGAGAGAAGATTAGCATGGCCCCTGCGCAGGTGAGGATGACATGCATAAATCGAGAAATGGTCCAAGAGAATCTATGTAAAAAAACAGATAATATAAACAAACGGGTGTGTGGGGGCATCGTTTAAAATGTGAGAGGCTCAGTGGAAAGGGAAAGCTGAAAGGAAGCTGCTAGAAATGCCAAAGGTAGAAACACAATTCGCTTCCGTCCTGCCTCTGGTCGACTGTGCCCACACTGCGATCGACCGTGGGTAAACTTGTCGATTTCGAATTTCGTGGGGGTCTGGGCTTATGCGGGGAAAGTCCCACTGGGCCTCAAAAACCGTCCCAATGGACCCAAACGATGCCCTGGGCGTCGTATCAGATTGAGTCTCATACATATAGCTAACTGTATCGACTATACTTAGTCTATGAGGGCATCATGCTGGTTACACCAGTGTTAAGGGAGGCCTGGTACTTGGTCTATGTAGGCATCATGCTGGTTACACCAGGGGTGTTAAGGGAGGCCTGGTACTTGGTCTATGAAGGCATCCTCATGCTGGTTACACCAGGGGTGTTAAGGGAGGGCTGGTTAACCAGTGTTAAACAACAAGTAGAAGCCCTCGCCAACAAGTAGAAGCCCCCACCAAGCCTTGCAGTCCAAAAAACTTGTCGCAACAAGAAAACGATGAGGCCGAAACGTCAAACGCTGGGCCTGCCGTTGATAAATGTTAAATTTCGGTCAGCGGTTGCGTTTTCGTTTCGCGCCTCCAGAATTTGAGGTGTCAGCCCCCCCCCCCCCCTCCGCCCAGGTGCCCATGTACTGGTGCTTTAAGCGATGGCTTGCCTCCTTAGTCTCTGCCCCCCCCCCCCCCCCCCAGCCCCCCCCCCCGGCCCCCAGTCCCGCCGACCCCGCTCCTGCCCACTCCGCCCCTGCTCCCGGCCCCTCCGCCACTGCTCCCGGCGCCTCCGCCCCCGCCCCTGCCCCTCCCCCTGCCCCCATGCACCCCATGTTCACGTGGTGCTGACCATCCCAGCGCATTGTAACATCCGTCTTACTGGAACAGGTGGGGCTGTTAGCTGGACTGTGCGTATCGGTAACTATTGTTCGGCGGATTTCAAACACTGATAGTGCGATAATCATATCACGCGTGTCACGTTTCTCCCGCCCACCGCTGTGGAAAGGTCAGAGAGTCGAGCCGTTAAGCCGAGCGGATCGCAAATGATTTCAGTACGTGGGAAGGAGGACGCACAAGGCCTGAAAACCTTCGATTTTTCGTCGGGCGACTCCCAAGGTGAGTTGGCAGTTTGCCAGGCACCCGCCGTTTCTGAAGTGAAGGGATGCTGGCTGGATCTGTTTTCCAGCGGGTGCAGCTCCCCGCCAATAGAGTGGAGCAAGAATTGAGGAGAAAAAAAAAAAAAAAAACCGAGCGTGGTGATCTCCGGCGCCAGCAAATTGAGCACACTCACACGAGTACTTCTTCGACTCGGCTCTGTGCGCACGGCATACTCACACTAGGACATTTTTGACTCAGCTCTGGACGTGTTTACCGTCGGATGCATCCAGGTCCGGCAGTAGTTACGGGTTAGCTACATTTAGAAAAGGGGCTACCGTAGTGTGAGTATGCCCTTTTCTAAGGTAGACCGAGAAGGGCGTTGCATTAGGAATAGGATGGTGAATAGTCCTTTATGTTTGCCTGACGGGGAATAGTCCCAGCTCCAGCTGGAGGCTTACCGCGGACGAGGTCCCACTTGCACGAATTATAAGATACTGACCGTAGATAGCAAAGATCAACGGCCGAAATCTCCCTATTTGCGCAAGTGGCACCTTGCCCCGGGGCTGAGGTCCCACTAGCAAAAAGGATAGGATCGAGGTCCTGCATCTGGATGTGTTTTATGCAGAGGTGCAGAAAAGCAGTTCAATCTTGATTTCCTGCACCTCTCGACAATTACGTCCAGATTCGGGCATTCGATCCGAACCTCTCTGCTACTAGTGGGACCACGCCCCGGATCTCTCTTTGGCGTTCTTCGAGGCGGGTTGAGCGGTGAACCACGGCGGGAAGGTGATACTCACGAGACCATCGAGATGCTGAAGGGATAACGAAAAAAAAGAGTCGTCCAATCCTGTGTGGAAACACCGTGGCCAGCCGTGTCAGAATGCACCTGCCCATCTCCGTCGCGCCTGGTCCAGGATGTGAACCAGAATGGCTCGTTTATGGCCATGCGGCACTACTCTGGACATGCACAAAAGACAAAAATCATGGCGGTGCATCTGTCCAAGTTGTAGCGGAAGATTCGCTCTCGTTTTGCACATTTTGAGAGTACTGTAGCGAGGCCCATAGGCAAAGTGCATTCTGTGCTTTTCGAACCCAAGTGGGGATGGAGGGCTCCTCGCCGCGGGACTGCCGTCAGGCGGGAGGAACGAAATGCTCCTGAGTCCTGAGCGCGTACGAATTCTCTTTGAGGCCCCACGGGCGGCATGTATGACGGCGCCAATTGGTTCAGGCGAAGGTCCGGCCGGAAGATGCGCAACACGTTGGGAGAGTTCAAATTGAGTTCGCTCTGCTTGCCGTAAGTCACGGCACGGCAATCCCAATCACCATTTGTCGAACCGTACCGTGATTGCTTGCTAGCCGTACCGTGAGTGATGACAGGGTGCCACCCACCGCACGCCCTGGTGGCTTCTCGTCTATCGTCTCTGCTAATGACTGTGCTCCATTCTTTTGCTCTGCGTTTGTCTCAGCTTGCCATCTGCCTGCCGCGTGTGATCTGTTTTGCTGTGTGAAAGCGACGACGATCGTCGTTGGAAGGTGCAGCCACTTGATTTCTCTCTTGTCTCCACTTGCCAGCTGCCACCGCTGCCGCTTCATCCCGCTGAAGCGATCTATAGCCAGTTCTTCAGCTTCATTCTTTGCTCCGCCGTCAACAGTGTCTTGTTTACGATCGTAAAATGCCTTCATTATAGCGCCGTCCTTCTCTTCAGGTCCATACAGCAAAGGGAATCACGGCTGGACTTAAGGTGAAACACCCCTCGTTGGTCTGACGTGCTGCTAGTTCTTCCACATTTTCTTCTCTCGGCTCTTCTGACTTGTTCTCAGCTTTTTCTCTTTTGCGTTCCCCTCTGTCATCTCTCCGTTTTGTTGCATCTTTTTCAAACGCTTCTGCCGCCCATTGTACTTGTGTCCATTTCCCTTCCATCGTTTACGCTCTCGGAACTGTAGATGGCGCGCTTAGGCCGTGTTACCTGTTTTGCCTGCCTGGAGTGTTGTGGCATATGCTTTTGGCTTACATGACGCGTTTCTCTGCATAAATGCTGAGTGCGCGGTATTTCTGTTCATGTTTTTCTCTTTCTTTTCTTTTGTTTGCATTGATGCTGAGTGCGCTGTATTTATGTCAATGTTTTTCTCTTTCTTTTCTTTTCCTTTCTTTTCCCCTTCCTTCAGTTTTGGCCTGTCCGCACGGCTGTGCCTTCGAAATCGGTAAGGGGTGATCTCCTGATCCGCTAAGGACAGTGTGGCATTTACTGCATAGGAGACGGGAAAGGGATTTGGTACTAAATTAGCAAAGGGAGGGAACGGGAGGGGAGCAGTGAAGAGAGCTGCAGGTCGGCACGCGGCAAATTTGCCCCGCGAAGTCAGTCACGCGCCTTCTCCTCCCGCCTTTTCTTTCATTTTTGGAGGACGTCTTGGCTTCCTTTGCACTGCCTCTCCGTGTTTCTCCCTCCCTCGTGCCTGCTTCTTCTGTCTTTTTATTCTCTGTGGTCATTCCTCTCGCCCGTTCAGCCGCCCCTTCTCTCTGTTTCTCCCCGGCCTCTAGTTGAAGAGGGCAAGCCTATTTCTCTTCTCTCTGGCCATGTTTCTCATTCCCTTGATGGTGCGCACTATTGCGGAGCATCGTTACAACAGCTACGCGTGCGCGATGTTTCTGCACTGAAAAGAGATTATTGCGACGACTTTTGTTCTTTTTTTCAGGGTACAGGGCAGTTCGTGAGGGTGTTCGAGTCAGTCTCTGCATTATACTTGCTGTTAGGGAGTTTGCTTTAGAATGCTGATGGTTTTTGTCTTGGTTTTGTGCAGGATACATCAATTCGATCGAGCGTCTTGCGAAGCACTCGGTCGGGCAGTCCTGGTGGGGGCAGGGTGGGTCGCGAAAGGGGCCGACGACGAGATCGCAGCTGTGTGACATTTGAGGTCGGCCACGCTTCTCCTCCGGATCTCCGCTCGGATCAGAACGGAACGTAGGGAACGTTCGGCAAGCAAGTCCAAATCGTCCGTCCGTTTTCGACTTCAATTGCATATATTTGCTTCGCGGTTGGTGTTCAATCTTCTTGCTTTTCGATCCTGTAATCGTATCCAGAAGTGGGTAGTTATGGCGTTTCTTCGTTCCTCGCACAAGTGGAAGGCGAGCGTTGTGGTCTCGGTTTTTCTGCTCGTTTTCTGCTTCCTCAGCAGCCATTGCGGTTTGACGTCAGCACAAGCACAGCCGTTTCTGAGCTCCCCCAGTCCACCGGTCCCAACGACGTCGTCTCGGCCAGCTATTAATGTCAGCACGATTGATCCAAGCTTCTTCCAGTATCCCGCAACTATGTCCTATCTGCTTGCGAAGCCGGAGCTCTACAGGACTTTCACACGGCTTTTGAGAATCCCAAAGGACAAGGCCCTTCCCGGGAGCTACGCCGTGCAAATAGTAGAGGCGGCCAAATTGAATATCACTTTGCTTGTCCCAGTCGAGGCAGCCTGGACTGCTCTTGGAAATGCCGTCTCGTGCCTGGAGTCAACGGGGTACGTACGTTATCCATCGTTAAACTCTTGTTTTTCCTTCGTCCCTTCCCTTGTGCTGTTCGGGTATCTTCTTTCTTTCTTTTCCTTCGCCTCGCCCTTTCCTCTCCCCTCCCCCTGCCCTTTTCCTCCCTGCCGTCTGTTTCTGTGACTCCGATATCTGTTTGAAGGTGTTTATTTTTTTCGGTTCGTTGTGGGCGGTGTGTTCTCTCTGTGCGCTCTGTGACTGTGATTGCCTCGTCGTCGTCGTCCCGAGGCAACGTGGCGGAGTTCTTGCGGAGGATTCATTTCTGTCAAAAAAAAATGGTCGTTCGTAGCCGCCGTCCGAGCGTATCAGAAGCTAGTACTCTACAATGCAGGGCGTCGCTCCACTGATATCTCCAAATGTGCAAAATAGAAATGAATCCTCCGCTAGAACGTTGAAAGATACACCGCCAAATGTTTTACTCTTTGTGCGTGTGGAGAGTAGTGGAGCGAGGCTCAATAGCCCTCTCCGGAGAGTAAGGGCCTCGCCGCACCAGTCACCAAATGCAGAAAAGACAAGATACGGCGGTGTATATTTCCATGTTTTAGCGGGAGATTGCATTTGCACATTTCTTGAGTTGTGGGCCGCCACGCATTCGGCATCTCTTCTCTTCTATCTGTGGCAATCTGCTTTCTTGGGACAGCAGTATGGCAAGGTGGTCCCGTTGTACACTACCTTCCCCCCCCCCCCCCCCCCCCTCCTCCCTTTCCTCCCCTCCTTTTACGTAGAGAGCCGTTGTGCCACGTTTTTGCCATTTTTTGAATGGTGAATCGTCCCGCTATCGTGTCCTGCATAACCTTTTTCCCGCCGCGCTTTAGCCCCTCTATATGCGTACTCGGATGTCCTCGGCTATTAACTATTGCTGTTGCTAATTACATGAACTACGCACCCATAGTCCATGCTAAGGAGGATTTCTGTCCGTGGATGCGCGGGCTCGATATGTTCTCACAGATCCATTGATAGTCTGGCACTCTGCTTGGCGTGTCGCTCGATCGTCTGCGCGCCGTTCAACTCGTTTTTTTTGCAGCATGTGAAGTAAGCAATTAGTACTGCGGACAACGTAGTTTCACATCAGTGTTCACCGGGGGCAATCGTTGGGTTAAATTTCAGGTCTGATGTTTGCAATACGGCCAATTTATATTCTTTCCGGTGATCAATCTCGAGTTTAGAAACGCGGTGATCAATCTTCAGTTTAGAAACGAAAGCAAGTACTTCAGTTAAAAACAATTAACGGAGGGAGGGCTGACGACCTCGGGAAACCTGTTACCGCTTTTCTCCGCTTTTCTCTGTGCGTCTAGTCTTGGATAGAACGAATAAGACGTGCGAAGTCGGTAGTAGTATTGCGGTGGATGTTGGTCATTGTATTGTTTGAAACGTCGAAACACTAACTCGGTGGGTGTTTAAGAAGGTTGTTTGCCGCTGAATGGGAATCTCACGGTTCGTTTCTCTCGTTTCGACGGCGGGCAATCGTCTTCAGCTAGGACAAGCAGTAGAGGAAGTACGGGAAAAATGTGGTGCCCTTGCGCTTGTACTCGCTAGTTTCCAGCATGCACGCATGACCGACCCCACTGGGCTTTGCCGTGCTTAGCATCTGTGCTGGTGGCTGCTGTGACCGTTTTCCCGCTCTAGTCACAGTTGAACGGATGGGCCCCGTGCTTTGCTGCGGTGCATTTTATCGGTCGTCAAGGGCAACGGATGGCCCTCGTCCTTTGCTGCGATGCATTTATCGGTCGTCAAGGGCACCCGTTTATCCCCTTTGTGCTCCCCCAATCGATGCCGATCTTTATTGACGTTTGGTCAATTGATCTCCGTTTCATTTCATTGTCACTGTTTGTTTCATTTCATATGATTTCATAATCATTTCATTTCATTTACGTTCTGTATCGAGTTTCATTTCTCTTGAAGATCTTTGTGTGTTTCCTCTGCATTCTGTAAGGTTTGTGGTTTGCTTTCTTCTGCGACTGATTAAATATCGAATAAGACTGCTCCCTGTGGGGTATGTTATGCGTCTCTAGTATCTCCCTTTCCACCCTCGTCAGGACCCTCCCGCTCCACCCTCCGCCTATCCCGCCTTTTAGTTTTTGGGTTGTTCTTGCCTTGGAGGTCCAGGCGATTCTCGCGCGCATTTTCTCAGTAGTACATCGGACTTCGTTCTTCCCTTCCCCACCACCTGCTCTGCCGCGTTTTTTTGCGTGGTTCTTGCCCAGAAATCCTGTAATTGCCTCACATATGCTTTCAGCATTGCAACAGTAGACGTCAATCTGCTTACAATCGACCTGTGTTCTGCTTGCTATCTCGTCGCATTTGGCGACAAGTCGGTCTGCGGTGACCTCACTATATGTCCTTTCAGCATTACTACAGCAGGCATCAATCTTTGATGATCGATCTGTGTTTTGCTTACCATCTTGTGCCATTTGGCAACCATTACGTCTCTGCTGTCGAGCGACATTTGGCATTTGCCGTTGTGAGAGAAGATGCTCCTTTGCCTAATACTGTAAGTTTGGTTGATAGGGATTTCTCGGCGACTTCGGTTGCAGATCCCCTCAGTAGCATACCCCGGCGACGCTCTCCCTTTCCCCACCTCCCCCGCCACGTTCTTTTGCGTGGTTTTCGCCCGGAAATCGTGTGATTACCTCACATATTCTTTCAGAATTTTTACAGTGGACGTCGAATTTTGATATGGGATTAGGCGTCCTCGAGTTCCGTTGCAGACCTACTCGGTAGTACACCGGACTACGCTCTCACCTTCCCCAGCTGCCCTGCCACGTGTTTTAGCGTTGTTCTCGTCCAGAAATCTTGTAATTACCTCACATATCCTCTCAGCATTGTGACAGTAACCGTGAAATTTTGATATGGGATTAAGCGTAGTCGACTTCCGTTGCAGACCGACTTAGTGGTAGTACACCGCACTACGCTCTATCTGTTCCCACCTACCCTGACGCGTTCTTTTGCGTGGTTCTCGGCCAGAAATCCTGTCGTTTGTTCGAACTCAGATGTGTTCTTTTGCTCGTTGTTTCTTGCTGATCCATCATCTATTTTCTGTGCCTGCTATCTAGTCTTACTTCAAGTGTTTTCCTCCGCTGCCACAACCGGGGTGTGTGTTGTGCTGTTGTCGGCCAATGTATTTTTCTTATTCGCGTTCGTCTGATGTGTTTGTTCTTCGTATTTGGAAGTCTTTTGCTTTGCCACGGCGGTTGATGCTCTTGATGTGCCGTGGGCTACCGTCTTACCCCGAATAGAACGTACGGTTATTATAGCCGTATTTGGCTCACCCTTCAGTCCAGATGCAGCGAAAACGACCGTACGTTCTATTCGGGGTAAGAAGGTAGTAATTGTGCGTCTATCGTTGCTTCCGGGTTTGTTCATTTTCTAGAGCATGCCAATGCATGCTCGAGCGATGGACAAATCTCTTGGACCCGATAGATAAGAAGTTCGTTCGCCACTGACTTGCATTCTTGTGATCGTGGAAGCGCTATGAACGGCGAGGCACATTCCTTTTCTTTTCGGACTGACGTGTAGTTGTTGTTGTGAATATAATGACAAGTTATTCACTCAGGTTTAACTCGACGATGCGTAAGGGTGTACAAGTTGGTCGTTGTGTGTAAGGTGTCGACACAGACACGGCCTTAAATAATGATTGGCATGCAGCTGTGCATATCACGAACTATTTGTATTAGTCCATTGATCTCGACGACTCCAAAGGGTTTATGAGATAAATTCCGCCTTTTGCACTCGTTTAACCAGGGTTAATGCCTTTTGCACTCGTTTAACCAGGGTTAATGCCTTTTGCACTCGTTTAACCAACCAGGGCTAATG